TATTAAAAATATTGATATACACATAAAAAAAAATGTGGTCAATTTAAATAAGCATTTGTGAACCATCTTCTTTTTTTTTTTTTTTTAAACCATTGCTTGGAAAATCTCTCTCTCTTTCTTTTAAAGAAGTAAACAATATAAAGAGTGAAGATCCCAGAATGAGATTCATGTGGAATGTATCAACAAAGAATAGACCTTCTTCCTCTTATCGCCTCGCCGTATCGCCTGTGACTCATCCCAAATCTAGATTTAAATTGCACAGGACGTAACTCCCATGAATTATACCGGAAATTCTGTGGTGAAAGGTTGGGCTCTGACGCTTGAGCACCTTATCAGCGTTGGACGCTTTTTTCTCAAATAGATTTCCCAAAAAGACTTGTATTGTAATTCAGACCAAAACAGTCCGTCCACATTTCTGAATGTGTGTCTAAAACATGTTCCTCATAAGACAACACAATCTTTTATTTTTTATATACAGTCACTAAATCAAACCCTTCAGATGGGTTAAATAGGGCCGAGCTTCTGTTTTTGTGTGATGAAACTCTCACTCTATAAAACCCCTTTCACACGATCATTCATAATCAGACACTTGACAGAGCGTCAGTAAAAGACTTCCTGAACTGATAAAGAGCCACATCTGGGCTCTCACCCTTAAGACTAATAACCCTGATGTCAAGTTATGTCTTCATTTAAATTGTTTTCTTTCGCAAAGACAGTTTTATAATCATGTCATTGAAATAATTCATAACATTTTACAAAAAGCTTGTATTCTTATTAATGCTTTATTAAAGATGTGTTGTTTGTTGACGGTTCATTACTCACCATCATCTGGTCCAAACCCATGCTGTTATTTATTTTTTCCTGTGGAACATAAAAAAAGGAGAAATGGTTAATAGTGACCATGATGGACATAGACTGAATAAAAAATCCACCATAAAATAGTTCAACAACATATCAGACTATTGAACATATACAGCAGCTGAATATATATTTTGTGCGATTTGAGGTTTCAAAAACACAATTTATGATAATTTCAGTAACAAAATGACAGTAAAGACATTTATGTTACCATTTTCATTTCAAATCATGCTTCTTGGTTTACACAGCCGTTCTCAATATTGATACCAATAATAAAAAATGCTTTTTGAGCAGCAAATCAGCATATTTGAATGATTTCTGAAGGATCATGTGACACCGAAGACTGGAGTAATGACGAAAATTCAGCTTTGCATCACAGGAATAAATTACTTTTATAAATATATTACAATAGAAAACATGTATTTAAATTGTAATAATATTTCACAATATTACTGTTTTTGCTGTATTTTTGATCCGATAAATGCAGCTTGGTGAGCATATAAGAGACTTCTTTCAAAAATATATATATATATACCGACTCCCATAAATATGGTCTGAAGATTCTTAAGTTCCACCAAAAAAGTAACAATGTACATGTTTTAAAATGCCATGAGAGTGAGTAAATAATGACAGAAGTTTCAGTTTTGTGTAAGGCAGCTATTCTGCTTTACTAAATCACACGTAGAGTTAGATATTTTTTTTATTCTGGTATGAATAATTTAATAACGATGATGACGAATGACAGCTGTGAAACAGCAAGGATTCTTTGAGATTGAGAGAGGGACTCACCACACCAAAACAAATTTTTTACAGAATTTTCCTCCAAAACGTCAAATCTACTTTATTTTCATCAGTTTAAAATTTAGATTAAATTCAAATGTATAGCACTTCCCACAATAAAAACATTACCAAGTAGCTTTACAAAGACCGGCGCCTTGCCTTTCAAATACTTATATTTATACACAAAGCAATTGTGGTTAGTGAGGAGGCGAAAGCTTCTTTTTACAGACATCATTTTTCCAGGGGGGAGCGTTTCGTGCCTCATTATGTTGTTAGTGAACAGGAGGCTGTGGTCAGGAAGACCAACTACAGAGAGGGAGGGTCAGCTCCTCAGCACGGGACGTTACAGATGAAACCGGTATTTAGAGCTAAGACAGAGATCGGCACACAAACATTAGTTTAAACACAGGCGCTAGAGATATGGAACATGTGGGGACTGAATGAGAAAGAGTGAGCCAATGAGAGAGGGAGATATGGGGGGAGGACTGACGACACAACCCTGGGCGAAACCTCATGCATCGACTGCTCTGTTTACAGTATGCAGAGAAACAGACTGACAGTGTGTCATTACACTGAGATACGCACAGACTGAGGCTCGCACGCACGTTTACATGTTTTATGGGGACCTTCCCTAGAGATTTTTATACTGTACAAACTGTATATTCTATCATCTACCCCGACACATACCCATCACAGAAAACTTTCTGCATTTTTTTACACTTAAAAAAAAAAAAACTAGTATGATTTCTAAGCTGTTTTCCTCATGGGAACCCAAAAATGTCCCCACAAAGTCTTCTGTATTGCCATTCTTGTGGGGACATTTTGGCCCCATAATGTAGGGAATACCTGAACCTATTATTTTAGTTGAACAGGTATTTTAGTGGAAACTATATAGTTAACATGGTACATTTTTGCAGGGGATATAATCGCTAAAATATCACCATCATCATCATCATCATCATCACTGTCAACTTACAGTTTGTAAATACCAGCAGAAATATTCATAGAACATTGGCATTGTCATTTGTCTAAACTGGTCATATCCTGCAGATGTGTGGTTTCTGCTCCCCAAGCTCAGCATATGAAGCCAAGCTTATCAGGCCAAACCTTCAATTTAGAGTATGGCAGAATCAAGCAGTCCTATCCATCATGCAGCTGCCTTCGCTCTACAAAAGAAAAGAGCAGATGTGACACCATGAGATCGTTGGTGCCTCAGCTAACCACATGCCCACAAGAAAAACAAGGCTCATTACCTATAAGTGGCTTTTACATTCACAAAAATAGCTGTTAATGATATGTTTAATGAATGTTGTGTTTGTGGGACAGGCACGTTACCTGGAATAGACACGCTTCTATTACACAAACACCTGTAGGGACATTCACAGTGTGTCAACACTTCTCATTTGTTTTGTTGACTAATAGAAATTCAACATAAGTACATAAGCTGAGAACAATCTCTCCCTCTCTCAAAAACCAACAAACATGCACATATATTGTACCTCTAAGAGACCTATTATCTACATACAGAATGTACACACTGATACTGTACCAAGACAGAGAAAAGACACAAACACAATGACTGTTATACTAAAAGACACAAGGATCTTTTATAATGTGTTGAAAGGATACACACACACAGAGGGGGTCCGGAGAATGAGATCTAAATAATTGTATTTTCATCCTTCATCATATATATATTTATACACAGCCAACAATTAGTTCACCCCCCTAAACTAAGAACAGACACGCATATAAACAGCCCCAAGGATTTCTAGGTGACGGTAAGAGGGGAGGAGTCTGGTCTCCCTACGCACAACCACATCCATGTGTAATTATTTTTCACTCTGAAATAGCACAGACATACAGTCCTCCGTCTTCCCAAGGGGCACATCCAAAATGTAGCATCAACACACCCTTCTTTGGAGGAAACCCTAAAAAGAACTCAGAAACGTGCACAATGAAAGCTAATTATAGCAGTACAGAGCTAAAAGAAGAAACCCTCACATGAGAACCAACTGATGGACGGATGTGCTCTACACCTCCAACAGGAAACACTTAACAAAATGCAAGCACCTGAGTCATGAAGTCATGAGTCATGAAGTCATGGACAAGTTTGATGAAGATCTTCAGAAGCAGAACTGACCAATGATAGGATGCCATGTGATTCAAATACAAACTGAAGTCAGAAACTGAATGCTGTTGCATAAAGAACTTGACAGAAGGACTTTAGGGAAAACTGCAGCTTGACCCATGAACTTCTGTCCCTTTCTCAAAGTGCGCTTTTAATATCAGAGAGTCATTGTTTAACAGAACATTCCTCAAGCCTCTAATTGACCATTTCCATGGACTGATGCTTATTCATAACAAATAATAGATAGTTATTAATACATTTCTGACATTAAGCAGATCATTAAGGTTGTCCAAAAACGATGAAAAGGCCAAGATTCCCATAAAATGAGATACTTCGGATAAAATTGGCCATAAACTATAAGCAATGTGAAAAGTGAAGCATGAGAAAAAAAGAAAAAAAAACTCAGTTATGCAAGTTCAAATACACTTGAGATGATAAATGCTGTCAAACTGACCACATAATTGCCATCGTTTTCCCATAGAGCTTTGCAGCAGGGGAAAAGAGACATGCTGCAGCCATTAGCTGACTGACAGCCACCAACTTTGAGAGCAATCCACATACTGATGTCCTTGAGAATGAAAACATGGACACACATCTAAGTAGCAGTGTCCATCAGCCAACAAATGTACTAAACCCTTCTCTGTGTGACACCTTTCCTGACATCAAATGCACCCAGACATCACAGTTCCATTGCCACAAAATAACTATATCCTCATTTTCTTACAGTCCTGACTCCACTATCAGATTCCTTTCACCCATAAAGCCCTTCTCTCCATCCCCTTTTCTCAAGATGTCATTTCACACCTCATTGGTGGCTCTTGTCAGTCACTGTGGTAAGATGTTTTTAAGATGTAAATGCATTCAGTATTACAGAGATACAGGGCTTGCTTGAAGTTCATAATATCATGGCAAATGATCCAACAACACTTGGATGAAACACTTTTCCAGAGGTCAAAAAAATTCAACATCAGATGGGATAATACTGGCATCTACTGGCAGAAAATATTCTGCAATCATTTATACAGTCCTATAAAGCTTCCATTTTAATTTTTCATGTATGAATTTTCCTTAGAATAATTCTCCTTCTGTTTAAAAGTATAAAATTCTCATTATTAACTGCCATGTGTTTTCAGACCGGGTTTCAGACGGGAAGAGGGTTCATCAGACTTACCAAGTATGTTCAGAGCAGCACTGACCTCTTTGTAAACAAATAAGTCAATGACACAGGAAGGATCATGTAAATTACTTTTATAAACGCATGTACAATGGGCCATGAAGGTGAACAAAGACAACAAATTAAAAAAAAAATATATAAGAAAACAAGCAGAAAGTACATTAAAAACAAGTAAAACAAGTTTAGTGCAGTCTGGCTAATTGTTTTTGGGGGAAATATTCACAGTATTCAGATCATATATGAACGCTTCACATGCACATTAGAGCATGTTTAGCAATAGGTTTCTCTTGTCATGTGTATAAGAGAACATTTTCAGTTCACAGCTGTGGCAGAGCTTATAACTTTGCTCAATTGCTGACTAAGCAACTAAATCTATTCTTTCAAGTTCAATAATACTGCAGTAGTATGTTTATTTGTGCAGTTTCATGCTGTGTCTAGTCACTATATTTACAAATGTATATTTTGCTCACGCTGTATGCATTGAAATTTAGATTGTTGATGCTATGCTAGCTAATGGCAACCATCTTGGACTCTATACTGAAACCTAGTGGTGTGGAAGCATCACGCAACAGCAAAAGTTCTCAGTTACTGATACTATCGTAATCGTGTCACTACTTATTTTAGGTTACTTATGTGTCTCTAAAATTGCTGAATGTACATTCATTTCATTATCTTATGTTTTTACTTTCTTCCCAAATTTCCTTATTTGGTCAAATTCTTTTATTTGGCTTTATTTATGCATGTTTGGGTTGATGTACAACGTAAAACTACACATACTTTTGTGTGTCTATATAGGGTGAATTCAGGTTGATTGGGACCTAAAAAAAAGTGTCCTAATCAACCTGAATTCACCCTACGTTAGGAAGACAGAGGCAAAACAGGCAAGCAATGCCCACAAAATCCTCCATGTATATGCGGGTTGTGTCTAGTATATTTACGTGATATAGTAGACACACTTATGTCAAGGTGTGATAATGCACAGTATTTATTAAAGAGGGCACTAATGGCGCTGTCCTTAAGTCACAGTGTAAAAGCATGCAGCTTCAAGATGATTTTTACTGCTTGTTTCTATCTGAGCTATTCAAACCTATCGATTAAGAGTTTTCTCGTGTACAGCAGCACTCTTGCCCCTCTGGTTGCACTCTCAGGGTGGGAAAACCTGGCAAGTACCAGCAAAGGTAAAACCACCCAGTCGTTTCCTCCACGAGTTCAAGAAGGGTCTTCAGTAAGCATTTCCCCCAAACAGTTTGACTGGAGGAGATGGCTAAATGTTACCGTGCAGTGACCATCCACAGGCCCAGAGCTACATTGGCCGCTAGAAGGGCACTGCCCCCCAGCAGAAAAAAAAAGCCAATCAGCTCTCGGTTGTTCCTCTCTAGGATCACAGAGCTCAACGTAGCTTCTAGGAATGCTGTGAGCATCCACTGGCCGTCCAGAGCAAAGCACGGAACAGCGTTTACCACCGCCAGGGCCCCAGACAATGACACCAGGTATCTCAACACACAAGAAGTTAAGGCTGTACATACATTTATAAATGAGGCAGTCATTACAGAGTTATTTGTCTCAGATTACTAGTGGTGCAACGGATCACAAAATTTACGGTTCGGATGATAACTAAATAAATAAACATATAAATATATATATATATATATATATATATATATATATAATGTATTGGGGGGGGGGGGTGTAACTTAGCTTTTCATTTTTTTACTTAAAGTTGACTTGAAGTTCTTCGATACCACATCAACAACTACTAGCCTAACTGATAAAGTTCAAACATTATTAAAACCAAGTGAACAGTCAGTAATAAAATAAGAACAAATGCACAAATTACAAGCAGACATGAATACTAAATAACAAAGTTAAAGTCTAAAAGTAGTATTCAGGCACATAAATTAATAATTAAGCCTAAAATTAAAATAACACTATTTGTTCAATGTAGAAATTAAATATAGTTCCATCTTTGTTAAAGGGAAACTCCACCCAAAAATTAAAATTCTGTCATCATTTACTCACCCTCAAGTTGTTGCAAACCTGTATGAGTTTCTTTCTTCTGCTGAACACAAAGGAAGATATTTTGAAGAACGATTGGAACCAAACAGTTGTTTGGCACCATTGACTTCCATCGTAGAAAAAAAAATACTATGGAAGTCAATGGTGCCAAAGTTCCAATCGTTCTTCAAAATATCTTGCTTTGTGTTCATCAGAAGAAAGAAACTTATACAGGTTTGCAACAACTTGAGGGTGAGTAAATGATGACAGAATTTTCATTTTTGGGTGGAGTATCCCTTTAAAGCTGTATTTTGTTGTTTTATAAACATTAATCACAGACCACTGTAGGAATATTAGGTGTCTGGCGTCACTTTAAAACCGAATGCACGGACCGAAAAAGCTCAACTGTTCACTTATGACATAATCGAGAGAAAACTTGCAGAGACAGGTATTTAGACATTTTTTTGTGTGCATGTGTCCGTTCAAGGGCAAGGAAACGCGAAAGAGGAATCGAAACGTTGTTTGAGCGCTATCTGATGTAAATACTGACTGTGTGGGAAGGATACTTGCAGAAAGTCTCCAGCATGACAGGCAGGTCTGGATGAAGAAAGCCCAAACGAGGAACAAAGTTGGTGAGACTCACTAAAAATAAAGAAATGATCACGTTTATAAGCAGGAACTTTTGCATAAAACTGAATAGAATAGAATAGAATAGAATACGTCTGACCCGAGTACTGTAGGTGTGAAGGGTAGCCAACAAACAGCATGTCTGCTTGTGGTGGGTGTTTGACCCGGATCAGTCTGGTCTGGTTCTCCAGAGATGGGATTAAACACAAGCTTGGGATGAAGTCCGTTTGACAGTCTGTGTTGGTACGACATGTACGACTCGCTTCAATGGTTTTTCTGACCGCCAGGCAGGCATACTAGCACGAGGAGAAAAACAGCAATAGTTTAAAGTGTCAAAAATACCAAGACTGAATTGTTTTTCCCCTTCCTCTTGTGAGATATAAAGCGTAACGGCGAATGTCAATAATGCAAAAATAGATCTGTTTTAATTTTCAGATATTATAGCTTATCACTTTCAGCCATGCAAAGCCTAGTTAGCCAACAGCAGGAACATTCATTTTCAGTTTTAATAGTCATTGACTAAATGTTCCCTGTGTTTAGCAATGAGGTGCCATTATCTGACACTGCAATGTAGTTTATTGCTGATATTAATAGGAGCAAACAGAATCTCAATATAAGTTTTATAACAGTACAAATTTGAATAAAATTCCCAAAAACTAACTAGGAGCATTTCAGAAAAGGTGTCCATCTTACCAATTTGCTCTCCACGTTATTACTGTAAGAGAAGCAGAGGTCAGTCAGGCTGTTGTTCCCACAGCACTCCATAGTGCCATCGAGACGTTTGAATGCTGAGTGGAAGAAAAATCAGAATGAGCTAAGAAATATTTGTAATATTAACTTAAACAGCACAACTTTATTTACACCATTTAAAAAGTTTGGGGTCAGTAAGAGTTATGTCTTCAAATCTATTGTGCATTTAAAGACAGAAATATTATGAATCATTATTCCAATTAAAAATAACTTTGTTCTATTTGAGCATATTTTAAAATGTAATATATTTCTGTGATGCAAAGCTGAATTTTCAGCAGCCATTACTCCAGTCTTCAGTGTCACATGATCCAATTGTAATATGCTGATTATTATCAATGTTGAATCAATATTATCAATATTTTTGTGGAAATCATGATGCATTTTTTTCAGAATTCATTGATAAACAGAAAGCTCAAATGAACAGCATTATAAATGTCTTTATGGCCATTTTTGATCAATTTAATACATCTTTGCTGAATAAAAGCATTCATTTCTTTAAAAAACAAAATCAGACCCCAAACTTTTGACCGGTAGTGTATATGGCAGGTCAGTACCTCTTCCTGCCATCCAGCTGTGCTGCAGTTTGGCAGTGTGAACACAGTAGCCCGTCTGAGGATTATGGGATAGATGCGGAACGCAGTTGTGCCAGTCTTGGACTCCCCTAACAGTACAGTCCTCCAGCTGGGTAACCAGATCTCCTAGAAACAGCCCACGGGGTCCACTGGACGGGGAACCCTGTACAACAAACCTATCTCAGACGCTAAGGACACAGTCGAAACATAAAACTTAAAGATGAAAGGTGATCTGACCTCCACCACCTCAGTGACTAGCGCCCCTGCTCCAGTGTAATACAAGGGGAACAGCAAGATGGGCAGCAGGAACAGGAAGCTGAGGGCCACAACACACAGCATGAAGTTGTGCCACACACCTACACAAAGACAGACAAAGTGGAAAATGTTATGCTTTTATAAAGGTTGCTAGAGTTATAAGGTTAAAATAAAGTTTTATGAATTGCATATGAAAGGCTCGCAAAAAGTCATTGTGCCTGGTTTAAAAAGTCTCACCGGCGCAGAATATTCTGAGCTGCTGGACTGGAGAAATGAGGTTCAGATGTGTGGTGAAGAGGTCCACAAACGCTCCAGGATAAACCACAAACATGAACATGCCAAAACCATTCAACCTCACCTGCTCCCTGAGAAGAACATGCAGAAAGAAACTGAAACAAGCTTCTTTCCAAAAGAACACACCATTTTTTTCAATAGTTTTTCAGGTATAACCAGCATTATAATGGCACAAGCCCAGAAACTCACACTTTGCTTAAATTAAACAAAAACTTCTGAGAAATGTACAAGTCAAATGGGGTGAGATTTGAGTTTGTGACCCGAAACTTCTAATAAACCTTTACAGTGACTCAATCTCAATCTATCACAAATGTGCACGCAAACTACAGACAACTTAAATATAATACGCAAGTAATCTTCCTAGAAATTGAGACACTATAAACAACCATAAGTGACTCTTCTAAAAGTAAACAAAATATTTGCATCTATGCAAAAATCCAAAGATTCATTCTTGCAAATTTTTGCTCCATTAGGGCACATTTTCATCTTAAAGCTGCTATGTAATAAACGAAATAGCATAAGGCTTTAAAAGTTCTTAAGCTTAAATTCTTTATCTTATCCTGGCTAAATGTGGGATAAGTAAGTGTTAAAATGTTCGATGCTGCACCTTTAAGATGATCTGTTTACCTCAGTGCTGCCACCCCATGGCCAAACTCATGTATGACTCCACTGACCAAGATAGCGATGAAAAAATAGGCCAGTTGACTGACAGGAAGGTTCACACCAGGCACCTGATAATACAACAAAAGACATGACCGGGATGATGAGGATGAGCACAGACGGTTCACACTGTTTACCTCAGTGCTCAAAGAAATGCACCAACATCACATACTGATTCCCTAAAGACCTCTTCTGCACTCACCACCACTTGCAAGATCTGTTCGTGGGACCCCTCCGGCGTCTCTGCCAACATCTGACTCAAAGTCTGCAGCAACGTTTGGCTCAGGAGAACCACAGATCCAAACATCGCCAGAACCCCAAACACCATACCAGCACTGAACCTGAAACAGATGTGCAATACATACATATATTATATATATACATACACAAGTTGAAATAAGATTTTAAATTCTGGATTTTTAATTCTTTCTCTATGATGATAGAGCAACAAAAAGAGAGTGATTGTGGATATGATGGTGTGTGTGTGTGTGTGTGTGTATGTGTGCGGTGGGGTACCCATAATGCCTTGCTGTAACCAATGCTCTCTTCATAAGCAGCTTAAGATTTTTTTAGTAACTAAAGCTGTAAGTCCTCAAAAAAATTAAATAAATATCATCAAAGTGGATTTAATGCGTCAACAGCCACACCATTGGAAACCAAAACAGAGCAAAATGTCTTATAGTACATAATTAAAGATGTTATTAGACCTATCAGAAAATATCAATGACATGATCCACGTTTCTTCCATTCAGAATCACAGAAACAAAGTACTGACAGGTTTGTATAATACAGCAATAAAGGTTAAAGAGCTCATGATAAGCATCACTGTCATCTAAACATGCAAAATAACTGATTTGAGGACAGTAATGACAAAACTCATACCAGATGTACAGAAAGCGAGGGTTGAGATGAGCACATCTGGCAAACAGACGGTTGAAGATGCCTGTGTGCCATTTGATATGGAAGGGGGAGAGAGTGAATCCGTTCGAAGATAACCACGATTCATAGCGGCTCTTCACTGAACTGGACGACTGAAGGTGAAACAGAGAAAAAAAGATGGTTAGTTAGGATGGGATAGGGTTTTATAATCATCACCCTTATAAAGAGGTAAAAAGGTAGTACAATATTTTATGCCAAAATTAATACACTAGTTGCTATATTTATTCTTGCAACAGTATAATAATATGAGATCTCATTTAAGACATACAAAGTTATGTCTGAAGCCATTTTATACTTAAATTATTGCATTAGTGAGAGTAATTAACTACTACTACTACTACGTAAGAAAACTAACTAGGTACAGTTATGCTATGTTAAAGTAATAAATCAGATGATGATACAATGGTACTTTGAGATATACAATGTAACTAAAATTATACTGGTATTTTATATGCTACTTCAAGGTAAACCGTGGATGGTAGTACCACGGACACGGTAATGCCCCCCAAAAAACATGGCACAGGTCAAAACATGCCAGTATCGAGGTACAATGTCCAAAATATTTAACTTTTTTTGTAGATGAACATATGTAAATACAATGGTACATAAATATAGCAATAATCCTACCTTGGTATTACTGCCATAACATACCATTGTTCTTCTTTACATGGTAAAGAAGCCGCTCTTATCATCTAATGTTCTTGACAAATTAATCACATTCGCATTACAAAGGATCAATTATGACAAATCCCATTGTTTAAGCAGGGGATGGGGAATTGACTCTCTTTCGTTAGCTCAAGTTAAAGATCCGCCTACCCGCAGCAGCGTGTCCGCTAGATACACGGTACACCACCCGCCCATCACACACACCACCACCGCTATGGGAATCATGACACACCGGGCTGCATGCGTCTCAAGAACGTCCAATTCCAGAGATAAACGATCGTAAAATTCCGACTGTCAAGCACACATGCACGGTGCACAAAACACCAGTGGAACGTCGCTTCCGCGTTTGCGTGCATTACGCAGTATTGCTAATCGAGTCAGACTGTTTACTTTTGTCAGAGCATATAAGTGGCTCACAGTCACAGAGCAATCGAGCACGATGGGAAGTTCGACTCATTTCCGCGAATCGGTTCTTTTGAACAGACTGTTTAAAATTATTTAGTGAGGCTTTTACTTAATCGCGGTTTCATCATAACAATATCCTATTGTATTTTTTTGTGCTTCAGGTCATAAAACAAAGTAATTTAAATAGGTCTAATAACAATGTTAATGTAGCCTACGTTTACGTAAAAAAATACTAAAGTCCGAGTGTGTTGATAAATCTGCCTAAAGTGACACATTTCCAGTATGATTTTATTGGTTCATTGCAGGCTACGTAAGTTGTACATCCGTCTAATTTTCGTAAAAGTAATTTTTTATCCCTTCAGTCAAAATGTAATTTAACTTCAAATGCTCACTATCAGCACTCTCATAGGTTCTCAACATTACCAATTGTAGGCTACATGTCGGTTCTTGGTTCAATTAAACGTCGGTGAGTTTGATGCATTGGAGTCGATATGATTTGATCCTATTATTGAACAAATTGTTTAGTCCTATTCGTGGATGTATTAACTCCCCAGTCAGTATGTTTAGAGTGGGCTTTATATAGCCCCAAAAAGGAGAGCAAGAATTTTGTGAACTGCTTCAACTAATTAATTTGAAAGATCCTACACAAAAAAAACGACTCAGGGATCAGGCATCGCTACTTCACAATGCAGCTAAAAACTACATGTGCTTTTTTATTTGCATTTGCTGAAGCATGAGATCACATCTCATTTGCACCATAGACATATCTGTGAACTACTCTTTAGTTTCCAGCTGAACAAACATGCTCTTTTCTAATTTGGACTCTCTCTCTCTCTCTCTCTCTCTCTCTCTCTCTCTCTCTCTCTCTCTCTCTCTCTCTCTCTCTCTCTCTCTCTCTCTCTCTCTCTCTCTCTCTCTCTCTCTCTCTCTCTCTCTCTCTCTCTCTCTCTCTCTCTCTCTCTGTGTGCATTTTGTACTCACAAGACCTGCCTTTAAATGTGCAATTTAATAAAGATGTAGCCTATCAGGCATTACTGTTTTCCATGCGGGAACCAAGCCTTTCTGGGTGGGAGTGATCTTGTCTGCCCCTCAGGCTTCAAAAGGTTTTATTAAATGATTTATTATCTGAGATGGTGGTCTATTGAAAGCAATTATTGCAGCCTTTTATGCTTATTAGAGAGGAGGCCGCTGGCTTCATAATGCATGTGCCCACAAGGACGGATTATAGACAACAGACACCGAAAGGACAGTCTCGTACTGCTCATTATGACACTCAACTTTTATGACCTGCTAATGAACTTCAACAATATTTGCGTTGTTCAACCATGCATTTAGCCACTTTCAAGTGGGATCTTTGCATTGTTACATGCACATTAAAAAATTCCAATAGGCTCAAGAGATGATTGCCCGTTTTAACCATATTGATAATTATTTTATAATGTTTGACCTACGGTATACTGACTGGCCTGATTAGCAGGAAGTTTGTGATGCCAGGTGTAGGGAGGAGAATTCAGGTAAGGATTTGCATAGCTCTGCTGTCTGTAGAGAACACCTTTCCCATCAGCTCTGGCTCCAGTAGAGCTTTACACTCAGCATTGAAGGAACTGGGTGAGCAGGATCACACGCCAAGTCTGAGTGGCACCAGGTAAGGACAAAATATGTTTTTATAATCTTATTTTCTCCGTTTTATGTTTGTGGTTTGATATTTACCCTTGCAAATGTTAAGTTTAGTACAGTATACACATTTAGTGCAATAATATTTAGCAATTATGCATTTGGAAGACGCTATGCGACTTGTGCATGCAAAGTATACTGTACATTTTACTAGTGCGCTGAAAGTGAAAGTGACATGTGAAGGCCAATAACCCAGGAATTTGTCCTCTACATTTAACCCATCCAAGTTAGTGCGAGCAGTGAGTGAACACACACATTGCAAACCATGAACACACACTCGGAGCAGTGGGCAGCCATTTTTGCTGTGGCGCCCGGGGAGCGATTGGGGGTTAGGTGTCTTGCTCAAGGGCACCTCAGTCATTTCCTGGAGGTATTGGGAATCGAACCCACAACCTTCAGGTTACCAGTCTGACTCTTTAACCATTTGGCCACGACTGCCCCCAAACCCTTGGTTTTGGTGTTGCTAGCACAAAGTTTAAGAACATTTTCCAGGGAAATTATGTGCGGCTTCCATCGTTTGTTTATACCTGTCCAGTTGTGGGTTAAAATCAGCCTAGATTAAGATCTGAAACTCCTCTAAACTGGCAGTGCTGCTACCACTGGGAATGGGTCGTCATGTCAAACCACGGGCCAATCAGACGTCTCCCTGGGCTCTGCGTGCTGGAGCCTAAATTAGGTCATGATCTTAATAAGTATTGTCGCACAGTGATTCTCTGACTGCGTAGAAGAGTACAGAAGAGGACCTCACAGAGAACAGGCAGGGCTTTTGACTGGGCATCATATCAGAACAGAAAGCAGTGAGGAGGTGTGGACCTCACGCTGGCAGCTGAACAGGTAAGGGCACAGTGGGGTCATGATGTCAGGGTCCTGTGTTGTGCAAAGCCAAAGTGTACTCGTCTGTCACCGTTCACTCTTTCTGAACTCTATTTTTTCTTCCATCTTCATTATCTGCTATATAGTACTGCAGCTTTAAGTTGTACATTCTCTCTTATGTTCAGGCATATCGAGGACATTTCGATCTAGGTTATAGTCTCCTAAATATACCCTACACATTATACATGCATATATGACAAGCAGTGGGAATTTAAAAATGCAATTTTAAAGTGATTGTGTGTTCTGGTGTGCATATACAGTGGGGTTTGAAAAGCCTGAGATGACTAGGCAAGTTTATTTGTTTATATATTTAATATAAAATAAATAAATAATATGATATATATATGTATATATATATATATATATATATATATATATATACTATTAATGATGTTTATATATATTATCATAGGCTATATACATATTAATGTATTTATTTATTAATAATATAAATAAGCATATATTATATAAATAAACAATAAATTAATATTAATGTTATTTACTTAATATTAGATGGATGGATGGATAATTAACATTAAGTTTATGTTTAAAATATTGTTATGAATATGTATTAATATTATATATTATGTAATTTATTTTCGGCTAGTTTTTTATTTTTTTACATGTGTGTGTATGTATACTACACATATATACTGTACATACATACATTACACACACACACGCGCACACACAACATATACAATGTATGTAAGATGTTAAATATTAATATTTGATATAACTTTATATATTATTGATCCTTGGCAAGTTTAATTATTTCTATTAATAATATAAAATAATTATTTTTCCAGCATAATTTGAAAAAGATGCAAAGAGCAAATTATGTTTCAATGGAAGCAAAAACTTCTGATTGTATCTGTATGATGGAGTCACGTGACCAATTTCACTAATGCAGCCTACTTGATTAATGGCATGCAGAAATAGGGCATAACATTTCTTACTAATATTGTTTTTCAAAACTTTATTTCCATGTTTAAATTACATTTTAAATTCCAGATTCTCACTGTTCTCTGACTTTAGGACCACACTGTATGTGTATAGTGACAGGACTGAGAATGGGGCTTTAATGTGCATGATGGGGCATATACAGTATGCATAAACGGCTGTCTGTGAAGTGAACAGTCAGGGTGGACAGAAAGCAGGTCCCCTCTGTGTATCACACTACTATTTATAGTGTGAACAAATCCCAGATATGAACGGAATCCCCTACTCCCCTACAGCCCGGAGTGAGGGAAAGAAAGGGAGACAGAGGTGTTGAACAGAACCAGAACCGTGGACAACAGAAGTCAAGACTGCTTCAGTCTGAAAAGAGAGAGAGAGAGCGAGAGAGAAAGATTGGCATTTGTCCTGTCTGTCTCACAACAGGGAACAGCGGTTTACTGTTACGGCAGCAGGTATGCAACTTTTTTTGAGGGCAGAACGCAGAGGGAATATGTGTGTGTTCATGTGTATGTGTGTGAAACTATAACGGTGCTAAAGGTCACAATGAATATAGGGGACGGGCTTTCTTTAGGTAAATTATGCAATATAGTGATATGATGATATAATGAGACCAATACAATTTGTTTAAATCAAAACAACTTTTTAAATGGACTTCTAGCTTCTGGAGGACTTCTAGATTTCTTCAAGCTTTCTCTAAAAGTACTCTCACTTTTCTTACTAATTACATAAGGATGGATATATTTTTTGTTTGTGGGGAGTCAGGACTTGTTTCTGAAAAATGATTAAGTCTGTGAGAATGACTCAGGCCTGGCAGGATTCGGCCTATGTAACACACTAAGGAACAACAGGCAGGTTTAACTGTAAACTGTAGCTTTGCCTTTACATAAGCATTAGCATTCTTTGATGATATGCATGTAAATGATACTTTTTTCTGTCTATCTTGTGGTTTTACTGCAGTAGACATCTCATCTAAGCATAGGACTGTGATGACGTTTGATGATTTACATAATAAACTGTGTTATTCTGAATGTTAAATTCAATTAATATGTTGAAAGAACCGCTCATCAACACAGTTGGATATCAACCTCAGGTGCAGTGTCAAATAAACATTTAGTTTTGAAAAATAAAAGATATAGAGAAAATTTTTGTCAGACAGGTTGGAAAGGTCTAGAGCTTCTGAGGTTTACAGCAATGCAAATACACTGTGCCTGTGAAAGCATTGTGGGAGTTTTTGGAAATGCAATATTCAGTGTGAGATTTCGGCTTCTGGTGGGCTGGTTTGTGATACAGTGGGTGGTTAAATTGATCTAGGATCCAAATCTAGGAACCAAAAATACAATTTTAGAACCTTTTGTTCTAGTCTTAGTCTTCGCTAAAGGTGGTTTGATCCAAGTTTTATGCTGTAATTAGAAATCTTTAATTTAATTTTTTGTTAGCTATTTTGAACACTGAGGAGTTTAAACTTTAAGACACTTTACCCAAAAATGAAATTTCTGTCATCATTTACTCCCCCTCAAGTTCTTCCAAACCTGTATGAATTTCTTCCTTCTGCTGAACACAAAAGAAGATATTTGGAAGAATATGGGCAACCAAACAGTTGATGGGCATCATTGACTTCCATTGCATGGGAAAAAATTACTATGGAAGTCAGTGATGCCCATCGTTTGGTTCCCCATATTCTTCAAAATATCTTCTTTTGTGTTCAGCAGAACAAAAGAAACTCATACAGGTTTGGAACAACATGAGGGTGAGTAAATGATGACAGGATTATTTTTGGGTGAAGTATCCCTTTAAGGACGGTATTTTGGAGCAGTGTCAGACAGCTGCCGTAGTGCTTGCTGCTCTTTAAAAGGTAAATTTAGCTCAACGGTCGGCAGTAGTGACTCCACACCACTTAAAGTCCGAATGCACCGCTGTTGATGTGCAAACAACACGGTTGCTAAGGTTGTGAACCTCTCTGTGAGCCCCAACCGACATGATTTGGTTGATCTGCCCCAATAAGACCAATGTTAAGTTAGAGAAGAAGGGAGACGTTGAAATATTTGATATAATATTGCGAATGCATTATGATGGCTGTATAGTTCACTGGAGGATTCCTCTTACATGCCAGGTGTTTTCAGCAAGACGTTTCATCGGCAGAATAACCGAGCAAATTATGGGCAGAAAGCTCCCCGCAAGCACAATCAATGCTCATCTGCCTACAGCTGTGTTCATTAGGTCACTGGATGATTTTACATATTTCTGAACAGCTTCCTTTCGGAAACACAAATTAGAGTGATTCAACCTTCATTCTGCTCTGTTTGAAATGTGATGGTGAAATGTGTTTGTTTCCGTGTCGGTTTGTGTTGCCAAGTATGTAAATGTATTCTCTTCAGAGTTCCCCATGGGTCATTTGTAGGAAACGGTGCCTTTTCATTGCCTTCAATGCCATCATTATTATGTTAATCACTGTAGAATAATAATAATAATAATGCACATCATTGTTTATGAATATATATATATATATTTTTTACAATGTTCTGTGATTTTTATAAGAATGTTAGGCATTTTTGATCTTCAATTATGTTCAGTTAATGCTGATACTGACTGATATACTGTCTGAATCAATATATTATCCAAAAAAATTATAAATATCCATTGATAGGCTATTTGTTAACCACTAGTCTGAATATTATGCCCCCCTCCCCCTCAAATGTCCATCCAAAATTCATGCTGAACTATGGCATTATGCATAATATTAATTTACAACATCAGTACATATTCCACCTCATGTTCCATATCCAGTATAACGTGTGTGTAGGTGTGTGTTATCCCAGCCCTGTCCTCTCCATGTTAACATAAATGATTCAGGGGTAAGAGCTGCTACCTGCTCCTCACTGCAGGAGTCACTAAGCAACTGAAAGACTATCCACGGGCACCTGAGAGCCGCAGGGGGGCTTTACTTTTCCCCAGACAAAATACATGTATTCAAACCCACAGCAGGCCAGTCTATCCATCTGATCAATGCATTCAGTCTATTCCTGTCTTTTTTACAGCAGAAACGCGGACACAACTGCACAGAATGTCTAAACAGCCGTCGACCAATGTCAAAGCCCTGCAGGTGAGTAAATGGTGTGTGTTTTTTTGTTTGCACATAATTGAAGAATAGTCAGTGGGCTTTTGTGTTGATTTTAGTGGCACAAAATGGAGTTTTTCTTCTTTTCTCAAAAACACTCAAACATGTCAACATAAAAGATTTTAATCTGAAAAGCCAGTTCCCTATTTTGAACACTGAGTTATAACTGTAAAAACACATTTCAATGTACAGTACAATGCATTACAGTACACAAGGCCATTGACAAGTAAATGAAATGCATTGCTGCATGTTGTTGATGTGTGTCCAGCTTTTTGTCTTGGTAGGAAACCTTTCTTTTCCAAACAGAAACAATTTATATAAAAATAGACTTGTACACTTTAATTGAAGTCCTTATAGCCTTTTCACTTTTGATACAGTTGATGGCGAACCCTGTGAATTTACATGGATTTCTGCATAAAGTGGTTAAAACTGTGATCTTCAACAAGTCAACAAACAACAAAAGAGATATCTTGTCATGTCTTTATGGGGCACACTGTGAAAACAACGAAAAAGTATGTGATATCTATATTGTACATCCTTAGGAGGCAGCATAAAAGTCCATCAAACGTTCTTTTGTGTTCAATAAATATATAAGAATGTGTTGTTTGTAATTTAAGCAGACTGCTTGTCCATTGATGTGACAGTTGATGTGATCAGATCACGTTATGACCAATTAATGCAGAAATCCAAAGTGTTCACACACACACACACACACACACACACACACACACACACACACACACACACACACACACACACACACACACACACACACACACACACACACACACACACACACACACATATATATATACACACAGTTGTGGTCAGAATTAATGGCACCCCTGCATGGTAAATATGATCAAAAATGACCGTAAAAAATAAATCTGCATTTTTTTTATCTTTCATTTAAAATATGTGCAAAAATCTAACCTTTCATTGAAGTAAAATAATTGAAAGCCTAAAAAAATATATACCACATGTTGTTTGGGAGGGTTTCAAGAAAAATCAAAAGGGTATGGTCAGATTAAACAAAAAAAGGGATTTTTGGCAGCAAACCCTCCAGATGTGTTTGGTGCAAACAGGGATAAAAAGTATCCCATGCCTACTGTTAAATATACTGTTTTTGTATAAATATGCCATTTTGATCATATTTACCAGGGGTGCCATTAATTCTGACCACAACTGTATATATCTGTCTGGCTAGGAGCGATATCGTAGACACTCTTATAACAGTTCACCACAGTGTAGAGACAATTCTTACAAACACTGAACACTTCAGCCAAAAATAGACACATTTATCTTTCCATAAAAACTCTCCATATACACACAAATCCATAAAAAGCCCCAAAATACACAAGATTCAGGATACAGTCCATCAGAGAACACAGACAGAAGGAAGAGAGGTCATGCATGCAAAGACAGGAGCACATGGTCACTAAAACAGCCAATACTTCATCCAGCAGTTTATATAGATGTAGAGCCAAAGAAATAGAGTAGAACAAATGCAAGGGTTTGATGTACTGGACCATGAAATGCATGCAAAACTGGAATGAAGTCTACTCTTTAGGGGCGTTTGCGATTGGTTGAGGGATCTCACATGCTCTAATCAAAACAAAAAATGTGTAAATTGAATCGAGTGTTTGACCTTGTGTGATCAATACAGCAGGAAAACGACAAAGCAAATAAGTGTTTGAGGTTCTACACTCTTAGAAGAAAGGGTTCTTTTTAGTGGTTCCCATCATGGGATCATTTTATGGATTTAGTTTGAATAAATTCATTTTATTTTGAATAAAATTATTATGCAATCCTTTAAGATTGAACCTTTTTGGCATAAAGCGTTCTTTAAAATTGAGTCGAGAACCCTAGGGTTCTATATAGAGTGTTCTAAGAGTGTATATGGAAATTGAAGTACCCCAAGAGGCAATTTTGCATTGTGACATTATTTTTTATTATTATAATTAAACAGTTTCCCGTCCAAATTCTCATTACCATAGTGCAAATAAAACCACAATTTCTTTAATGTGAAAATATATTAATTTTAAATTATATTTATATTTTTTAAAATTGAGAATGACAGTTGGATAACGATAATAAGAATTTTGGGGGAAGTGTGTTTAGTTGTCATGAAAATAATGCTATTTATGCAAAATATAATTTCTTATGTGACCTGGTTTCCGTGAGGTTCACCCACAAATAATGGAATGGCTAAGACAAACATGCTAAAAAATATATATGAGAAGAAATGTGGCAAGAATCCTGATCTTTTCAGGGTTTCTTCCTAGTGTAAATTTGTAAACACATTTACAGTTTCACATTTGGAATTTCGTTTTCATAATACATGCTGCGTTTAGACGTATTTAATAAAGACCAGACCAGACCAAAAAAAAAAAAAAAAAAAGACAGGCTGTCTGCTTCGGGCTTCAGCAAACAGAGAGATGTCTGTAATCTCACTGTTTTATCTGTTGCCCGCAGCTCATTTCCATACAGGCACTTTGCTCTTTATGAAATACAAACTCCAGCAAGAAGACATGTCCAGCAGGTTTTGTGGAAAGGTTTGGTTTCGTCAACTACACAATATTACATGAGCTTAAATGACTTTGGTATTGTGGTGTGGTTACAGGAGTAAATGAGCAGTGTCCCTGTGAGGCTATAGCAGCGATGGTAACTGTCTCAATGCATTTTCTTGTCTGTCTCAAAGGCCAACCTTAATATTCCAATGGGGGCTCTGCGTCCTGGGGCGGGACATCCTGTGAAGAGGAGAGAAGATACAGTAGACACAGAGGAGGTCAGATTCTGCTGGAAACAATCACACATGCACACACTTACACAATTGAGTAAATTAGACAAACATAAAGATATTTATAATCATGTCCAGATCACATTTCAATTTAAATAAATAAACTATTTCACATAAAGAAATCTTATTTTAGACCACTGAGATTTTTTTGCTTTGTGATAAATTGCAGGAATGTATTTTTATCTTTGACTTCATACAATTAATTTACGTTATTCTTATCATGAAGTACTAATAAACACAATTTTGTTTTTTTTGCCTACAGTAAAGAGAAAGAAAGAACTAAATAAAGAACGATCAAATTTTTTTTTGGGGGGGGGGGGGGGGGGGTAAAATATTACAAACTCATTGTTGAGAGATTTTGTGAGGGCCACTCAGTAATATCTCCCACAACTGTTGGTTTCATAGCCATCCCCAGTCACTCCAGAGGAGAAAAAGCCCCTGCCCGGTGCTGTGAAACTACCGGGCCCCGCCGTGAACCTCTCCGAGATCCAGAATGTAAAAAGTGAACTCAAATGGGTCACCAAAGACTAAACAACACAGGTAAATCTGACAGTCAAATATACACACTCACACCCATTTTCCCCGTCTACCATTTTTGGTTAGTCAAACATTGTAACATTGTTGGTTCTTCTTGATCGTACACACACACACACACACACACACACACACACACACACACACACACACACACACACACACACACACACACACACACACACACACACACACACACACACACACACACACACACACACACACACACACACACACACACACACACACACACACACACACACACACACACACACACAGAGAGAGAGAAGCAGGAACACAAGAGCAATCGGTTTTCAAAACACGCCACACTGAAATAATTTAGGAAGGCCCAATGGTGTTCACACAAATGACCACATGGTGTCAGTAGCTGTAAAAGTAGTTTGCACGTGTGTTAGCATGCATGCTGGAGTGTGTTAGTAGCTGTCTTTGAGAGTGTAAAGGGGTATGATGGTGAATCAGGCTCTATTAATACTCCACAGATCAGTGGGGCAGTGAAAGTCAGTCTGTTGTGTGCAGTCCCAGCATGCCTCACAAGACTTTCCTATTATAGAGCAAAACATGCACTGTGTGTGACCCACTCTATGTGTGACAGAATTAAAAACAAATTTTGCCAAGCAAACTACCTTGAGATTATACCATGTTTTTATTGCTTGTAAACCCATTTAACCAATTCTCATTTTCACAGGTGACTCCACCCCCATTTGATCCAAGGCTTTGGTTACGGTCTCCATCCAATCAGATTCGTGTATTTAACACAAAACCCCAGAGAATCGGTCGCAACGGAATCATTGGCAAGCCTTAATGATGACACTACCAACTGACCTGAGAATGAAGAAAGGGGGTGGATTCTATCGATGCAAAGACTGATGGGAATTGAGCAATTCAAAGCTCTGAACCATGTTTTTGTCTGTCAAAAAATAGGTCATCACTGTTTAAACCACCCAGCGTCGTATTCTGTATTTTGCGTTTAAAAATGTTCTGTGTGCTTAACTTAAAGGGATAGTTTACCCAAAATGAAAATTCTGTCATTTACTCACCCTCATGAGTAAACTATCCTTTTACGTTTGATTTTATAGTAGTTCTGTATTCTCCTACTACCATCAATGAGTCATAAAACAGAATATATGAGACTGAAGGCATTGATTCATCTTAAAGTTCCTCCATTCTTCAGCCAGATTCTGTCTTAACGCGTTAAAATGTGACACCATAAAATCAATGTTCTTGAAACATTTTACATCTAGAATGATTATTATGCAAATAATTGCGTCAAATTGTTTTAATTAATCAGAAAGTCATGGATTTAATTTGATTAGTTTTCCTACGATTGACGATGGCCAAGCTGCAGGCTTGTTTCCGCTCCCTACTTTTTCTTTATCTATGGCTTTGTTCTTGTGTGTTGCAGTACATGAGTAGGCTGTTGCATAATAAAACATGATTTCACGTTCTCTCCAAGAGCAAACCTGTAGGAGGAAGCCAGCACTTGTTATCCTCGAACAAATAGAACTGGATTTCAAATGCCGCACTATCAGTTTGTTATGTACATAAACCGAGATTAGTTTAACAGTGCAAAGATGCTCATCTTCTCGCTTGTAAATCACATCATATGTGTATGTTCTGTTCTGTGATCTTGATCTGCAATCTGTAGTTTACTAGCAGCAGGTGTCATGACCTTTGGGTAAAAGTGTCCTTATTAAAGATCATGTATCGCTCCTTAGATCAGAGCAAGTCTGCATTAGGAGCTATTAGTCAAAAGCTGGGAAACATGTACAATGCAGATTAATTGTGTCTACATATGTATTTCTTTAATTTGTAAGGCTCTATTTTCTGTAAGTTTGCTTTGAAACAATGTGTATTGTGAAAAGCACCATACAAATACAAATGTCTGACTGGATTTAAGACAACGTTTTGTGAAATTAATTGGATTGCGAAGTGAAAGACAAACAACCAACAAGTATTCAGCGTACATGGAAATACATTCAAGCCTTTTGAAAAAGCTTCCCAGGATGCACCTCATCTAGACTAAGGGTGGCAACTTTGAAGAATCTTTATTTAGCATAATTAGCACATTTTAATTTGTAGTTTCATAGTTTTGAAGACTTGCTTTTATTCTAAAATGACACATAAAATGGAAAATAGTAGTACTAAATAATGACATGTCGAAAATTTGACTGGTTATCTATTTGGAAAAACCTAGGAGAGCAAAGAAATGGCCACAAACACTACAATAGACAATGAGTACAACGGTGGAACAGGACCTATCAATCATGTGGATATGGAATGGAATATTTCAGGATTAAGCATCTGGCAGAGGTGCATGGAACACAGACAGAGTGAGCAGCTGTCCAACTAATCAACAAAGCCTTTATAATTCCCTCATTACCCATAATGCAATGCGAAGAGAGAGAGAGTCTGTAGTTCTAAAACTTCTCACCGAAATGCTCAGCATACCTCACCTTCCGCCGATTCCTTGATATAGCCACCTTGTGTGCTATCATATGCTTTACATTATACATTTCAAACTGTATATCTATAAAATATGTTCGTTAATTAAAATGATTTTCTTACCTAAAGCCTTATGCTCACCAGTTATTATCAAAATTGTTCACCATGACCACCAGAGCCAAACAAAACCCCTAATAGGAAGAACAGATAGTTATATTTAGAAAGCCCACTCAGGTCTGGCAGATTTCTTGACTGAAGGGTCACCAGAGAACACAAACACACTCACAAAGTGCCTAGGCACATAAATCATCTGTATATGCAATTAAATGCACTAATAACCCCATCAGGTGTAAAACAGTTTATCATAAATTGTATTTATAGATTTGCAGTGCAGGAAGAGAGTATGATCCTGCAAAAGACCTTAAAGCATGCAATGAAGTGGAGTCTGGTTTTGTTGACGAAATATAAAAAGTGCAGCATAGTTAATGCATCTAATTTAAACCATGGCAGTTATTTGGTGCATTTAAATATATATCTGCTGATGCAGAGTGTAAAGACATGCCAAGGGTCCTAAAAGGCCAATTACTCATTTTAAAGCGAGAATCCGAAAGGGGTTGTAAGGTATGCACAGGATTTGGCAGTACAAACAGTGTCTACAAAATCATTTCCTTGAGACACATAGCACACAAACACACCCCCATATGATTCATCATGACCTTATTGCAGCTGCACTCGAGTGATAGTGAATTCACAAATGACTCCAGTTACCAATTACATTGATAGATGTTTCTCCACTGTCAAGCATTTGTAATACAATATATTGTATTGCAAACGCTAGACAGAGGAGAAACCAGTGTGACTATGAGGAGAGGGGTGTGAGAATGATACGAGAAGCTCTATCATAATCACCCCTCGCTCTTATACTTAATACCCCCTCTGCAACCTGGCCTGATGCTGCCCCATCTCAGCTTTGAGCCAGTAGCTATTCAGGGAGAATGAAGGGTACGATGTTCACGAGGGTGGGATGTTTCCTTTTCGCTGTGGATCACACTTACACACAAATACACGTCTATAAATCAACCTCACTCATGAGTAATCTAGCCAACATCTCCGTGGTTATAAAACAAATTTTATTGTCTTTTTTTTTTATCTTTGTGCCTTCCTGACATTGTCTGAACAATCTCCCTATGGTTCTCATAGACGGGATTTTCACTGCCAATCCTTTCTATTTCTCTCTTTTTTTTTTCTTTTTTTTTTGGCTAGACTGTGTCCTGACTGTCCCTCTGATAAACTCTGAGTTTCTATTCCTGTCACCTTGGTGAGATGTGGCTTCTGGTGGCGACAGACAGAAATCCACAGTGCTGACTAACTCCTGTATTTAGCAAGGGATGACTTCAGATCTGCATATCATAATAAACCCCCGGCATGATCCCTCCCGCTCTCTGTGTTCCCATCTAACTAAAGGGAAAGGGCAACTAGCTCGAGGCTGTGTTTACCCCTTGTGGCCCCAAAATGTCTGCCCATCCATTCTCCCCTCCCTTTTAGAGATCTGGTAGAAAACACATGCCTATCTTGTTGAGGCAAGAGGTTTGGAGGCTGCCCACTGGGTGGAGGAGCAATGGTTGACCCTCCCCTTTACAAGTTTATGCATTTGATGCCTGCAAAAGTCATGGACCACATCCCAACAGACGCGGCTGGTGCGGCGGACCTTTTCTTCCTTCTGTCTCCTTTACTTTTGATGACTTTTGCAGGAGCAAGACGACCTAGCCACCTCTGCCTCTTTCCCTTCCTTTCTCTCTCTAACTCACCTGTTCTTGACCCTGGTCTTCCTTATCTCTCTCCCTTCTTCTCCTAGTGATGAATTATTATCTGATGCTCAGCAGCACTCATGGAGAAGGTGTTCTGTCTCGGTACCAGAGCTTGCGTCTGGAGGGTCGAATGTGTGATGTTGTTTTGGAGGCGGAAGGTGTGGAGTTTCCTGCTCATCGCACTTTACTAGCCTGTTCCAGTGACTACTTTTGGTCTATGTTCCAAGACTACACTCTGGAATCCAGTACTCACACTATCAGCTTGCCAGCCCTGTCATCTCTGGGCCTGGAGCAGATACTGGACTTCATCTACACCTCATGGATCTCACTGTCACCCTCCACTTTGGAGGTCACACTGCAGGCTGCCTGCTATCTACAGATAACTCATGCTGTGAATCTTTGCACTCAGTACATCTCAGAGAGCATTGCTCCTGACAATTGCTGCTTTTTTGCTAACATAGCAGCATGCTATGGCCTTTCTGAAGCCTTCAATGACAGCAACTCTTTCATTGCCAGAAACATGTGCAGAATTCTTGCAACTGAGGAATACAAGACTGAGATAATGGAGTTAAACCTTGATTCTCTGCAAGAGGTGCTTGTAGCTGAGGAGATGCCAGGAGTGAAGGAGACAGAACTTCTACAGCTGCTTTTGGACTGGCTAGAGTGCAACCCGCAATCTGCCCTGCAAAGTAATGCATTGCTCAGTCGGATCCGATTTGGTTTGGTGCCATCTGAAGAGCTGTCTCAACTTAGTGCACTTAAACCTGCTTTACGTACACCCTTCATCCGCAGCGTAGTGCAGAAAGCGCTTAACTACCACCTTCAGGGTCCCTTACAACCTCTACTTCAAAGTGTCCACACCAGCCTAAGAGCCATAAGCAACAAGATTCTTCTGATAGGGGGAGGACCAGAAGCAAACAGACCCCAGAATCAGATCCTAACCTACGAACCTCGCAGCAAGAAATTCCAGCCACTTCCAGCATCCCTACCAAATAAGATACAGCACCAGGGAGTATGCGTTGTTGGGAACTTCTTATTTGTACTAGGTGGTGAGGTGGTGCAGGTGGATGAGGAGAACGAGAAGAGTGCTGTGATGACTGTCACTGACAAGGTGTGGCGCTATGACCCACGGTTTGAGCAGTGGGAGGAGATGGAACCACTCTTGCAGAAGAGGGCACAGTTTGCCTGCTGTGTGATGGAAGGTGTTATTTTTGCTATTGGTGGACGGGGCGAGAAGGGTGAGCCTGCTTTGTCATCCGTGGAAAGGTACGATATGAGTGAAGGGTGCTGGCGCAGTGGTGTATCCCTACCAAATTCAGTTCATGGACACGCCTGTGCCACTATTGGAACAGGAATCTACATCTCCGGTGGCATTCATATCAACAACCCAGAGAGCAGCAAAGATGTGTTGTTTTTGAATTCTGTTGAGGGGGATGCCTGGCAGAGATGTTGTAACATGTCCATTGCCAGATTCAGCCACCAGATGGCAACAGTGAGGGGAAGAATTTACACCTTTTTGGGAATGTATGAGCCCTTCTGTGACATTGAACGCTACAGTCCTGAGCAAGACCTGTGGACCCGTCTAAAGCCCCTACTGAATGACCGCTTCTGCTATGGTTTGACCGCAACAGGGGGCAGACGTGTGCTTATGTTTGGAGGCAGAAAATGGCAGGAAGGACAGGAGGTGTGTACAACAAACGTGCTGGAGTATGACACAGAATATGATGCCTGGAGGGAAGTGTGTAAACTACCAGGGCCCTTGTGTGGGATTCAGTGTGCCATAATGACTCTTCAAGACCCTCCGGAGACCTAAAAGTCAATTACAAACACCATCCCACATACACACAGACAAACAGATGGCTGTCATGGGGCAGAGAGAGTTGATGGACAAGGGTATTCTTTGTATCATGGATACATGGATTGTAAAGTGGCATGGAAAACAGGAGTCTATTTACCCAGATACAGAAGACCTTGGTGGGGGTAAAATCCTGTCAAGTATGTTTTGCAGCAAGCATTAAGGAACCCCTGAAAGTAGGTCACTATGAATAGGGTAGAGAAATTCATGACATTGATAGATGAATTGTCATAAAGACTTTGTCCTGAAAAATGGCATAGTTCCTGTATGGACACTGGAGAACTAAAGATTACATTTCAGACCACTGCACACTCTTGAAAGGCACGAAGAAAGGACAAACCAACAGGAAAGCCATCTAGATAAGGACAAATGAAAACAGACATAAAGTGTGCACTTGAAGTCCAGCTTGGACAAGATTTGACTATTTGGCACTGTGTGAAGATCAAAGGTGACACTCATAATGTCTTATGACAGAGGGACAGCTGCCATGAATGCTGGATACAGACTGTGGATAGTAGAAAATACAGCAGTTAAAATGAAGGAGAGTACACTCACAGACACTGCGAGAGAAAGCCAAATTAGACCATTGATTTGGAAGGGTACATGGGAATTCAAAGCGGGCAAGGACAAGTGTCAAGACCACTGAGTGTGTGTGGGATGCAGACAAGCCAAATGAGGATGAGGAGATTTTTAGTGAGCAATGATAAACAAAACTGCATAGGCATGTATATCTGACAGCTCAAAAGTCAGGCCCTGCATGGAAATCTAGATTCCCAGTCACAGATAATATAGTGTGACTAGAAAACCAATATAATTAAGGTGAACTGCAAATAGTGAACAGCGGAAATCTTGCAAAACAGTGCAATATACATCAACTGTAGTCACTAGGCTGGATGATATATCAAAAATTCATAATATATTATTTTATAATAGTATCTATATTTGTACAAGAAACCATACAAAAAACTGATGTTTTAATAAAATAATGCATGTTTGTTTTTCCCCTTCAGTAGAAGAGGTTGCCCGTTTGATTCATTTCTGTAAATTCAAATTGATTCAGATGAATCAGTTCAAAACTAGTAGTAGTAACCATTTCTGTGTTGGCATTTCAAGCAGCATTGAGCATCGAGTCTGTACAATGAATATTGACATTTGTTATGACAATTCTACAAATGATTCAATGCAAAAGAGCAGCAAAGAGAGCAATGCATTAATAAAAGATTTGACTACATAAAACTTTGATCCAAGACTTAAAAGTTTTTTTTAAGTCTTTTGTACTCATTAACACAAGGGTGCTGGTAATAATAGCAAATGAGAGAAAAAATAGCAAAAGATTTGAGTATGAGCAGCCCAACCTGGGGTGCGTTTCCCGAAAGCATCGTTAGACAACTATGGTCGCAAGTTCCGTCGTTACCAATAGAGTTCAATGGGAATTGCGATCATAGTTGGATAACGATCCTTTCGGGAAACGCACCCCTGGTTTGCTGGTTAGATTACTTTACACCAGCAAACAAAATTAGGATAGTTTAACTTTTTTTTTGTTTCATTAGCTTCAGTTGTGTTGATGGAAAGATAGAGTGACTGACAAGGAAGGAAATAAATCAGAATTTCCCATCTGAACTGCCTCTTGTGCCCAAACAAAGGAGACCCATTCTCGACCTAAGACTCAGAGTTCATCCAACAGTTCATCTCCATTAAATGTGAGTCCATTACCTTCACTGAACAGCCTGGAAACCAGCTGGGAAATTGACATGGGCCTCCATTTTAACCAGGAGAAAGGTACCTTTACTCATTGTCCGATAGGCTGTCAAGCTCTTAACTCCTCAGGCGATTGGCTTAAGCTTAAATATATTTTGGACTGAATGCCTGACCATAAACAAAAATGGCAGAATCGATTGGCTTAAGCTTAAATATATTTTGGACTGAATGCCTGACCATAAACAAAAATGGCAGAATCAAGGTTGGAAATGCCAGCCGAGAAACTGCCATTGAGATGAATGGGAACACAAACGGACAGCTTTCTCTTCAGGTATAATAGACCTACATAGGCATTTACCAGCCTCAAAGTTTGGGCAGCCTGTCAGGCAATGTCGAGGACGCCTTTCTCCAATGTGCATTTTAACTCGCTTCATTTAAAGTATCCAGCATATATATAAAAAACACATGCATATACAATAATACAGCATGATTACATCCATAAAAGTTTATTGACTCTAGGTATAACCACACTTAAATCTGGATAAAGCAATAACTCTTTTTAAATAATGTCATAAATAAAGTAAACTTTACCAGGTTGTACGCTAAACACAACACATAGGAAACTGCACTGCCTAAATTACATGCCCTATTCATAATAAAGACAGGCAGCATCACAGATATTGATGAACTAGATTGTTGTACGACAACTCTGTTAAAAAATGGGCTGCTAAGGAAACATAACATGATTTGCACTAAATTAATAATAACTTTGATATATTACTAAAGTAAAATACCAATAGACATCTGTTCTAGTAGCTCTATATCCACTGGTAATCACTTTCTCTAAGAGCTAATGGATTCCCATGATTCCCATGGACACATTAGCACCTGAGTCACTCAATCAAAATCAAGCTAATATAGTCTTAATTACATACAGAATGAAATGTGCTCCATTATGTCAGTCATACCTGAAATATCAATGTACATCATATAATACACATCTTATCATACAATAAACACTCTTCTGATCATTCAGTGTTCTTAAAAATCCTCACATAAAGCGTCTTTGTGTTTGCTGAACCTTTCTGACAGTTGAAACACTGACATTAAATCATTTGGCAGCTTTGGTTTAGAAAAAAAACACAAATGTGATTGTGGTGTATCTACAAGCCATGTAGCAAGAGATGTTTTGCTTTGAGAGTTTATAAAGATGGACGACCTCCTGAACTTTGACATACATGTAATATCAGGAGTTGAGCTGCTGCTTCTGACAGATGCTGGGTTGAGTTCAGGGCAACAGCTTTGATCGGCGAGTCCCTGGGCTGAGCCCAGCGGTGTCGTGGTGACCTTGGTTGTCATAAAAACTCACTGTTGCTCTCGACACAAATGTCCCTAAACCCGCGGCAATGCACAGGACGACTGCATGGCAGCTTGTAGAAATGGAAAACTTGAGTCCAAACGGAGGTATACAATACTAAAAAATCCATAAAACTTCAGATTAAGCATAAAAGATGAACAGCACACCTTCTGCACGGGTACAGAATCACTTGTCAGTGCCGTCTCTGCTCACTTAAGGGTGCAAATTTTTGCTAGGAGCATCCCGTGTGAATCTGTTTTTGATTATGAACTCTCATTTGCGCAGACACATAATTTCACCTCATATTATCAGAAAACTGTAGTGAATAGAGAACTTCCACAATCCGACTCAAGTTACAGAGATAATACTGCTTCTGGATAATGAAGCCTGTGCTATTTTCTACCAATCAAAGCACACACACTTCACCGAATGTTCATCCGTTATAAGAGGCCCAGTTTAGCAAGGTGTTACTCTCGGTCAAGAAGCGTTTGCAGCACAGGCGCAGAAATATTCCAGGTTCAAAACAAGCTGAACACTATCTATAGCATTTTTGGCATTCTGTAAATTACTACATTCAATTATTTTGACTCTTTTCTGATTGGGACAAGGCACTGGACCACAATAAATGTTAAAATAATATTTAAATGATCAAAGACTCATAGATCCACATGACTTTAACATTATGCATGTCAACAAGAGACTAACAGAATAATAATTTTTACTAAATATAATAAGTTATTATTATCATTATGATTAGAGATGCACTGATATATTTAAACTGGCCAAAATGGATAAGCCAATAATTTCTTTCTTTTTTTTTTTAAATACTGTTTTAAATAAATTAATATTCTAAATAAGTTACAAATAAAACACTAAAAACTCAGTTCACATACATTTGCATTAAATTTAGGCATCACAACATTATTTTGTACTATTGAATTACATATTTAATATTAGCTGATGTGTATCCCAATGATACAATAAATAAAAAAAATCGAATATGGTACCAATTAGTCTATGCATCCCTAATAATATTAATAATAATAAGGTTTCACAAACAACTACAGCTCAAAATGAAAGAATGGTTTACTAACCTTGTCTGTGCATACTGTATGACCTTGTCATTTCCAGTCTTAACTTTTGACTGTGTGAAGTGTGTAAACCTTCACCGTAACATTTGTCAAATAAGTGTAAGTACAGCAAAAATGGTTATTTTACACAGAGACAAATCCACCCTCAGGAATTACCAGAAGATCTGCTCCTAGAAAAGTCTCACAACTTTATAGACTTTTTATTTTTGTATGGAAGAATTGAAATAAGCACCTTAGAAAGAATCCAAGCTGCACATTTCTGCCTGAAAATGTTCCATTGCCTTGTCCCATAGACTTCCATTGTGAGAGCATTACTATGAGTCGAGTCAAAATTACTGACGGTGGTGAAAAACACCAAGCCACAGAAGCTGTGAATAGAAATGAACTGATTTTGAACCAGGAATATTTCTTTAAATGCCTTTTCTTGGTATATTAAAGGACCCTGCGGAGATTGTGGTTACATGAGGTAACCACATTAGTTTTCCATGTTCATGCACATCTTCCAACGAAAATGTACAAATGCTATAAGTCGGGGCCAGCCGATGTATAACAGCATATCTTAAATATATAGTATGATACAGTAGAGTATATGGTATGCTAAAGTGGCATATAAACATGGCAGATAACTTGTGTGATGACCGTCTGCGAGTCCACTGTGAGATTTGCTTCAAAAAGACAGCCAAACACAGGTACAGCAGCACAACAGAGTGACAGTCAGTGCGTTTAGTGTTCAAAGGCCGCCTCAGACATGCATTTCCTCTCAGAGTTCAGTCCGAAGCTTCCATTTCCATGATCAAGTGCTCTGGTTCCTGTTTAGAGGTGTGCCAGGTTTGTTCTCGGTGCGACGGCTTTGTCTCTCCTCGTCTGAGCCGCTTGGAGGACTCGTAACCATGGCAACCACATGTGCAGAAGTGGCATACTCTGAAGCCCGTTGGTTGTGAGTTGAGCCATTGAGAGTGCTTTGTTTGTACAGATATCTGTGCCTGCGTAAACAATGTTTTCAAGTATTTAAAAAGTAGATTGAGTCTGCGATTGCTGTCAGGATGGGAAAGTACAAGGAAAAGTGAGAAGGGAATTTGTGTTAAAGGACCTTAATCTGGGTAGATGCGGTATCAAATCTGACGTGAATGAAAACGAGACTGTGAGGGATAACAGTACAATATAATTAATAATTATAATATATCTTTATAATCTTTGAGATTATATAATAATCACAGATAGTAAAATTATAGCTGATACAATATTTTCATGCCCAAAATTTTAATTCTATGCATTTTTTAAAAATAAATAATAATAATAATAAAACACTAAAAACTAAAATCAATTGTTTAAAATACACTTTTAATGTGAATTTAGGCATCACAAAATTATAATGTACAATATGAAAAATGAATATTCATTTTGAGATTTAACAGTGCTATTAAATCATTGAACTTGAACTTTTGGTGAGCATTAGATGATGGCTGATCCAATTTGGAATCGTTTAAAAAACGTATATACTAATAAGTATACTAATATATTAGTAAGATACTAATATATCGTGATCCAGAAAGCTCACACAGACAGGTAAAGCCCTTTTTCAAATCAAGTGGGGTCAAAACATTAACAATTACTGGCAGATACCATCTTATTGTGATTCCTAAAAAATTTCATCAGATATTCTAGAACATAAACACTATATTTCATAACTGAGCTGATTATAAAATTATCAGTACATAACATAATATAGCACATAATTATCAGCACATATAAATCAGAACATAACTGATTATAAAATTACCCAGAGGCCCAGATTATATGCACAATAAATTAAGACAATTTATTGTGCATATAATCTGGGCCTCTTGGTAATTGTATAATAATTACTAAATAATTTAACTGCATTTTCAAATCATGCATCAGTGCATCATCATATTCCTAAATGTTAATTCTGTACATATATCCCTCACAGCCACATAATTAAAATATCAGATCCATAAACACCAATTCACCCCATACTTTATCTTGAAGGTCCGTGCAAGTGAGCGACAACGACTTCAAATAATGTGGTGTTATTTCTGTGTCTGAAGTGTGCATCAGACGTGAGTCTCGATGTA